CCCTCTCTCCTTGCTTTCTCAGGCGGCTCGCCCGAAAGCAACAGAATTGCTCAGGTGGCTCGCCCGTAATTCTGTGAGAGGCTACATTTTAAATTTATAATCTCTAATCGTAGTTATAAAACATTTTATAGTTAGAACAAAATGCGAAAAGGTCAAGAGAATAGCAGCACTGCTATTTGATCATGTTACGCTGCTTTGTATCGAAGTGTTAATCCAATTTACACGATACTCGGATTTGTGGTAGTAACCATAGTGACACTGGGAACATGCTGTCACAAATATTCACCAAAAAAACGGCCTTGCGGCTTGTTATGGGGTGATAAAACATTGATGTCCAGATGAAAAGAAAAAAAAAGTAAACACAAATGTTCAGGATACCTTTTATCTGTCATCATGAAGCGTCTCATACTTTCGATGCCGGCATAGTTAGTGATGAYACCGACATACCAAATCATATAGCATCTTATGTATCCAAACTTTTTTTAAGTTTGTCAATCTCAGTAATACATTAGAGCCAAGAACCAGAAACAATTATAAAGCCACGAGAAAATTCCAATTCTAAACTATAATAGATGTTATTWTAATTTGGGGGATAAGCGCTTGCCGATTATAATTCACTGCCGAACGGCGTAGAAATCGACTTTACGTCTACTATATTCAGTCTTCTAAACTTTTGTTTAAAAAAGCACATCAGCAYAGATCATCACTTTTAATAATATAGTGGCTCTTAAAAGAGCCGTTGTTTAGTTTTGAATGCGTACGAGGTTTATCCTTCCTTGGAAGTCGCGCGATCTGAAGGTCCGAACATAGCTCTTCTTAATGCTTCCCCGAATAAAGCATTCTGCCGAACAAGCTTCGGGATTTACTCTTCGAATGCTCAATTTGGAGAAGCATTGCTGTTTTCTGCCGTTGTTTCTCGCGAATCTTCTCTTTGCGGACATCGCTGTTGCTTGTCTGACATGGTGACTTCTATGTGTTCTTTATCCATATCACGAGTCCAGGTTTAATAAGTAATTCCAAGGGCACTAGGACACCGAATGTGGTTGGATTTCTATAGTTTTTTTCCCCTTTCGATTATTTGAATTAAATTAACGTTATACTCGTTTACTTATCTTGTGTCCGTGTTCCTTCGTTCGCTGTTGTAATGCAGGCGTTTTCATTCCAAAGGTCAAACGGTTTGAATAGCCTATATGACACGAAAACATTTCATCGTTTAAAATGTATAGTTTGTTAGTAATAATAAATATATCGTAATGAAATTTGTTTCAAAAGCTTATTTCTTAAGATATGTGAGAAAATTAAGCCCAATTTGTGACGTCATTTTGTTGACACGTACTCTAGATTCAGTAGTAATGCATTAAATATAAATTGTAATTCGTATAAAATAACAACAAAAGGCATATTCTATTCAGCTTCAGTTGATAGCTTACGTAGTACTCTTCAAATGTTGGGAAACTGAAAAGTGTACTACCTGAAATTAAGATTCTACATTCAAACATATTTAGTGTATTTGCAACTAAATCTGGAGACTTGTAAACAAAATGACGTCACAACTCGTGCTAAATTTTCTTGAATTTCTAGAGAAATACGTTTTTGAAACAAATTTAACCGTGATATTCTTATTAATGCCAATAAAATACGCATTTTTAACATTAAATTTTTTTTGTGTCATATGCACTTTAACGGCCGTTCCGTACTTGACTCTGTTTGTACTATACCAACAACAAC